TTCTAGCATTTTCTGGTATTTTTAGATAGACAAAAAGGAGCAATTGAAGGTTAGAAAAAAGTTCTGATTAGTAAAAATATGCTAAACATAAGCAGATGCCCTTTTTGTAACAAAAACTTCGTGGATTGCGATTTTGAATTAGAAGAAAGACTTGGTTGTGATTGTTCTAGTTTTCAAGAGCATTACGGTTGCCATAAGAGTAATTGTCGGAAATTAAAAGAAGATGGCGATTATTGTTGAGATCATAAAAATTGCTGTAAATATGAAAGAGGATATGATAGTTGTACAAGTGAAGCCAAGACAAGAGATGGATATTGTGAATACCACCGAGAAAAATGTAATTATTGTTCTGAAAGGAAATGAATTGAGAATGGGCGTTGTCGTGACCATCGTTGCGGAGAGTGTGGTGTTTCAGTTTCTTCCGGAGGCTATTGCTCTAATCACATTAAATATTGTTCGTATTGCTCAAAGAGAATATCCGAATATAATGAACGTTGTGATGGATGTACCCAGAAATATAAATGCAGATATTCTTACTGTTCAGTGATAGTTTATCCTTCGGAATGATCTTATTGTATTGATCATAAACATGGGTGTCAGGTAGGTTTCTCTTGTTCAGGAAGGCTAAGGAATTATGGAGAATATTGTAGAGAACATGCTAAAAAGTGTGAATTTGATAGTTGTTCTACTAGGATCAATAATTATAGCAGCGATCATTGTTCCGAACATCCTCCGCAAGTTCAAGCAAGACTCTATAAGAAAAAAAAAGATGACTTACAAACTGAGTTAAATAACCGTCCTAATGTCAATGTTCAGGAATATAATAATTTGGTTCAAGAAAGAGATAATTGAAGAAATAAATTCAATATTAAAAAAGAAGAAGCAGAATGACTACAAGGTCAGTTGAGAGAAGTTTGGGATAATAATTATGAAGCCCGAATAGAGGAAAATTATCCTCCACATCTTAGAAATAATAATTAAAGAAAATATTAAAAATATGACAAATAATCCATTTAAAAGAACAACAAATAATCGACGACATCACTACTGCCAAATATTAGGTATAGGTGATAAGGCTACTAAAAGAGAAATTTGCGAGGCTTTTTGGGGTTTGAGAAAAAAGTTTCACCGTCTAGAAATCTGGGAAAGAGAAAGAAGAGTGCCTACCGAAACGGAAGCGAGAAGGTGAGAGCAAGTCTCAAATGCTTGATATGAGTTATTCATGAAAGAACAGAATAAAATAAGTAGTGAGGAAATTAGCAAATTTTGCGAAAGAAAGTTGAAGGGCGAAAAAGAAATTTCAGAAAGTTTGGAAAAAAATTGGAAAGGAGTGAAAGGCTATGATAAGTTGAATGAAGAAACCAAGCAGTTGTTTAAAGCAAAATTTAAAGAAGCATTTCAGGTATCACCACAGTTGTTTAAAGAAAGGCTTAGAGTGATGCCTTTTTTGCCATTATCATTTAGATGTAAATGTAATTTTGATGAGTTTAGAATAGATTCCGATTGATTTTGTAGTCATTTTCATAATTGTCTAAAAATCCATCAAGAAGTTGAAGAATCTGTTCAAAGGATAATTAAAATTATTGAAGAAATAAACGAAGAAGTTTGTCGAGCGGGGATAATAGTTGAAGAAGTTAATGAAGAAAAGAAAACGCAGGAAAAGCAAAAGAATGAAAAAAGTGATGCTGATAACAAACAACAACAATCTGCTCCAATTTCCAATAATACTGAACAATCAATAATAACTGATAACCAAAAAAAAAGTGAACAAATAGAAGATAATGATTCTCGTGAGTCAAAACGACTAAAAGGAGAAGATGAAGAAGTCAACATTAAGTTATCTAATGACTTGCAAGGTCTTTCAAGCAAAGATGATAAAAAAATAGAGCATTTTCTCGCTGATATTGAAAAGTTAAAAAATAAAGGCAAAACTTATGAGGAGCAAAAAGATAAAATTGCTGAGAAAAAGGATGAATTAGCCCAAGAAGACCCAAGTGGATATGCAAAAATGATTGCTAGAGTTATTCAGAAGAAAATTGATGAGTTTAAGGTTGAAGTTGCAAGGCTAGGTCAGGAAATAAAAGAAAAATTAATTCGTTTGCAAAACAGTGAATTTACTAATGATAAAGAAGTGCGAGAAATTGAAGAAGAAGTCAGCAATGAAGTTAGTGGCGAAGTAGCAAATATAGAATTAAGTAACTTAATGACTCAGGCTCAAAAAATATTAAAAGGTTCGGTTGACAATCTGAAAAGTCAATTAAAAAAGGCAAGGGAAGATTTATATAGTTTTTCTATAGGAAGTAACATTTTCCAACAAAAAGCCTACCAAAAGCAAAAGCCAAAAGTAGAAAAAATGCTAAAAGATTTAGAAAACATTTCTCGAAACGATAATGCTCAGCAACCAAAATCAAGTTTTTTTCGCCCAGAAGTTATTGTTCCTCTTGGTTTAGTTTCCGTTTTGGGAGTAGTAGCAATAACAGCAGTAGTAATTAGAAAAAGGAAATTGAAGAAAATGGACAAAAAATAAATTAGCATCATGGTAAAAGTACAAGAATGATTAAATAGCAACTATCCTACAAAGTCCGAAAAAAAATTAGAAGGAATCCAAAAATCTCTCGAAGGAGAATTGACTATTAATAATTTCCCTAATTTAGAAAAAATTTTTCTCTCCAATAACCAAATAACTAAATTGATTTTTCAGAATTGTCCTCAAATAAAAGAAATTAATGTTTATCGTAATAAATTAACTAAATTAGAAATCTCGGGTTTACCAGAATTAGAATATTTGCATTGTGGGAACAACCAATTAAATAAACTTGATGTTAGTGAAAATACGAAATTAAAAACTTTATTTTACTTCAATAATCCTTTTGAAAGTCAATTAGAAAATTTAATAGGGGTTGAAAAGTTAGTTGACTTAGAGGGACTTCGAGGCAAAGGACTTATTAAAAAGATGGAAGAGGAAATAAAAATTCATCTAGATGCAATGAAAAGAATGGATGATTTTTATCGGCAAAATCCTCCGAGTGAAGACACCAAGTTAACTAATATTCTCCAAGAGATTAGCAATGAATATTTAATTATTAGTTGTGAAAACAGGCAAAAAGAGTTAGAAATTAAAGAATTAAAAGAAATTGTTAATAATTTAGAAAAACTAGTTATTCATACTAAAGATAGTTTTTTAGTTGAAAAAATTGAGAATAAATGTGTTAAATTAGAGCATTTGAAAACCAGCATAAGAAATAATTTGAATGGTGACTGACATGAAACATTAGATGACCTTTTAGAAGCCCAAAGAACATTTATTAAGAGCGATAATGAATTTGTGCGAAGTCAAATAGTAAAATTTAAACAACGACTATTAAACAGTGGACAAGTAAATCAAAATGAATTGCAGAAAGTTTGTCGAATTCAAGCCGAATTAAGTTTTTTAGAGTTAAAACTAGAGCAAGAACAAAAGTTCCAGACTCAAATTGAAATTAGTAGAAATTAATAAATAAATGTAAAAGATAAAAATTTATAAAACCATGAATAGAGTAAATAATCAAAAATATTATCAAACATTAGGAATAGACAAAAACGCAACTGAAATAGATATCAAAAATGCTTACACTAGGTTGGCTGAAATGTTTCGTCCTGATAAAATTAAAGAAAAAAAAGGAAGAGAAGCCCTCTATATCGAAAAGCAAACCTGAAATGAAATCCTTGATGCTTATAGTGAGGCATTAAAGGGAATAGATAATAAAAAAAGGAGAAATAAAGAAAGTGAGAAAGGCAACAATAGTGCCAATAACCAAGAAAATTTTGTTCAAGAATCCGAGGAAAGCGAGAACAATAATAAACAAGAATTAACAGTTGAAGAAAAGAAAAAAATTTGAGATGAATTAAATGATAAAAATTATTGAGAGATACATAAACGTGATCACGATGACAATGGTAATTGAACTAGAGAATCAGATATTCGCTATTTATTTTTAGCAAAGAGGGGTAAACTTTCGGATCCGATTAGCGTGTTAGGCAAAACCTGAGAACAATTTTATGAAGAGTTAGCGTTTTATACTCTTGAATGTTCTCTTTGCGGTGGATGTAAAAGTTGGTTATGCGGCATTTATGGTCATGTTGTTCACTGTTTAAAAACTCGCCAGGAAATTGAAGAACTTCATCAAAAAAAGGTTAAGTTAGATATAGAATGATTTGATAATAAAATACTCCAATTAGCCTTGGCCGATGAAGAATCGGTTAGGGAAGTTGACAAGATAAGAAAAAATAGAGGTTGTATTAGGTGCTATCAAGAGCAAAATAGAAGCATTCCCGACAACAATCAACTTACTTTAACTTCTAATGAAAAACGAGATAGTTCTGAACAATCATTAACAATTTCTGACCAAGAAAGCCAGCGAGGAGAAATAAATAATAACACAAATAATCAGCGAAACGAACAATTAGAAAACAATTTCAATTTAACCATTTCAGAACAAAAACCGCAAGCCAATGAACTCTTAAAAATAGTAATTAGTGGTGAGTTACTAATTAAGAAAAAACAATTCAATCGAGAAATCTTAACTAAACTAATTACTGAAAAAAAGAATAATCCTTCTCTTTTATCAACTCTTAAATAAGGAAGGAAGGATAGATGAAGTAATTAGTGAGTTAGAAAATATTCATCAATGACAATCTCAAAAGCATAATAATAAACCATTAAGAAAAAATCAAATTCCTGTTGGGATTATTGTAGTTAGTGGGATAGTTTTACTATTGGTGTTAGGAATGATAGCGGTAGTAAGAAAGAAAAGAAGAAGGAAAATCAAACATTAACCCAAATTTAAAAAATCAACCATCAATGTGGGCTGATTTTCTAATTTTTTTAGATAATAGACTAATTTATTAATGTCTTCCTTATTGTTATAGATAAAAAGAGAAATCCGGATGGCTGACTCTACTCCAACTAACTCTTTTAAGTAAGGACAACAAAAATTACCTGCCCGCACACAAATGTTGTTTTTTCCTAAATAATCGGCTACATCATGGGCATGAAATCCTTCCAAATTAAAAAGAACAATATCTATTGTTTCAAGATTTTGATTATAAATAATTATTTTCCTTAATTTAACTAATTCCTTTATAGCATAGTCTTTTAATTCTTTTTCATAACCATTTACTTCCTTAATATCTAGTCGATTAAGAAACTCAAAACTTTTTTTCAAGCCAAAAATTTGAGCTAGGGGTAAAGTTCCTACTTCAAATTTTTGAGCTAGGGGTAAAGTCTCACCTATTTTCTCTCTAGGATCAATTCTTTTTCCTCCTCCTCACAAGATATCAGGAAATTTTTCTCCCACTTCTTTTTTTATTCACAGTACCCCTATTCCAGTTGGTCCATAGATTTTGTGTCCGGAAAAAACTAGAGCATCAATTCCTCACGCTTTGACATTTATTGGCAAATGAGCAATGCTTTGACAAGCATCAATTATTACTAGACAATTTGGATTTATTTTTTTTATTTTTTTGGTAATTTCTTGAACTGGATTAACCACCCCCAAACTATTACTTAGATGAGCAAAACTGACTATTTTAGTCTTTTTGTCAATACAATGTTCTAATTTATCAAAATCAATTACAAAATTTTTAGTTAGTGGCAAAAATTCTACTTGTGCTCCTTTTTTCTGAGCAATAGCCTGTCAGGGATAGCAATTAGAACTGTGTTCTAAATGGGTCAGAAAAATTTTATCTCCCTCTTCTAAATAATGTTCCAAAGATAAAGCCAAAATATTTAAGGAATAGGTAGTTGAAGGAAGAAAAATAATTTCTTCAATTTGAGCCTTGATTTTTTGGGCAATTAATTGGCGAGTTTGTTGGATAGTATCTCGAACTTTGTTAGATAAAGAATTATTACTTTCACTATGGCTGTTGATCGAATATTTTTCATAATAACTGCTGATGGCTCGAATCACCTCCAAAGGTTTTAAACTAGTGGCAGCGCTATCTAAATAAACCAGATTTTTTTGGTGAATGAAGAGGGGAAAAAGTTGACGAATTTTGTTATCCATAGTATAATATTTTTTCAATTTTAATTATCTTTATACTCAATTCAGTGTAAAAATAAGGAGAAGCAGAGCAATTAAAAGCAAAAATTTAGCAAATATTATTAATAATCGGGTTAACAACACTATTTATAACATGTTAAAGAAAAATAAAAAAACTCCGGCTAATTATAAGGTGAAAACATAAAAGTATGCAATATAAAAAATATAAAATAAGTTAATTAAAGAAAATAAGTACAAGATATTAGACTTATACATAAGGAGTTAGATAAATATTAAAAGAGGTAATTAGTGATTAACTTATTATATTATTAATTTTAAAAAAGAAGTAAGTAGATAAGGTTCTTTTATTAGTTATTATTTTAGATAGTGGTAAAATTACTAATATTTATGACTAATCCAAAAAAAAAAAAAAAAAAAACAGAGATATTAGAACTTTGAACTAATTTAAAGAATAAACTAAGTAAATTAGTCTATTTATATCAGAATAAAGGACTAATTAAAGAGGCAGTAGAATTTCACTTACTACACGCTTCTAGTTTTACTTCTGCTCATAGTGATACTTATTTATATTACTGAACTAAACGCAAAGAGGAATTAATTTTACGGTTAGAAGAAGGACACTTTCGCGGTAGAGCAGAAGCAGAACTGCTAAGAGATGATTTAACACGGGTTAAAAATGTTCTGAGCATTAATAATCCTCGAATTCAAGACTTTGAAGCACAAAAGGTCAAAAATGAAAGGATTGTAGAGAAGTGTAAAGAGTTATTAAAGGAGTTGGAGTAAGTTTGTTAGATAAATTGCTTAGTTTTAGAAGGATTTTTGAGATTGGTGTAGTTTATATAGCAAAGATAATTATCTAATGAATATTAAAGGTAAATGCTGATTAAACAAGGGAATTTTTTAGGATTCCCTGTTTTTCTTTTAGTCATTTTTTGGATGTTGCAATTGTTGATTAACTAATTCTAATTGACCATTATGTTCAATTTCTTTTTCTTCATCGTTTAAATCAACTGTGTGGCAAACTTGGTTATTTTCTCTTTTAACTCCTTTACTTAATTCTTGCATTCCATTCATTATTCTCTTTTCTATCTCATTGTTAGTAATTCCTTGCTTATACTCACTAATAGCAGTTTGTAAGATAGTAATCAAATGCTTAATTTTTCCATGTTCATTTCTTCTTTTTTCTCATGCTAGTTTTCATTCATCTCATAGTTCATGTCCATCTCTCAGACTAAATAATAATCTGCTGAATTCAGACTTAGCCTTTGCTGTTAAGGAAAGATTATTCCACGACTCTAAAACTTTTATCCCATTATTTAAAAGGATTAATTCTTTAACTTTGCTACTTTTATCCTTGCGAAGAGATCAGAAAATGTAACTTAACCGTTCTTCTCATATTTTTTCATTGTTATCTCCGTTAACTTCACCTTTTTTTAAAATCTCTTCTAGTTCTTCTCTTAAAGATTGTAGCAACTTATTCAATTCTGGTGAAGAATCAAAATTATGAAGTGGTTTCAAGATTTCTATTAGTTCTTGATACCGATCATAAAGGTTTTCAATATCCTTGCTTAGTTCGGTTAATTTTCTCTTTTTTTCTTCGGATTTAAAAAGTTTTTCTTTGCCACTTGAGATAAGGTAATCAGCATAGAGAGAAACTCCGGCTGTTACTGCCCCAGCTTCGGTATAACCTTTAACTATTAAGCCCGCACCCACTATGGGAACGGCACGAGTTAAGTATTGGGCAGTAGTATAAAAGTTTTCAATACCAAAAGTATCGGCTAATTCTATTACTTGTTTTTTATCCCATTTGTTATGGTATTTGCGGAGGTCATTGTGGATAGGATAGATTTTATCGGAGGGGATGACTTCGAAGATTTTGTTTGATTGTTTTACCTCTTTGATTGTTTCCAGTATATTATTTTCTAATTCATTTTTAGTCATATTTATTACTTATTTGGATGGAAATATAGTTCTTGTCTGTAATTATTATTATTATTTAAGTATCCTTGATATTTAAGTCGTAAACTCTGTTCATGTTCCTTGAAAAGATCTGGAGAAAAAGAATTTGAATTTCTGTCTATTAATAAAGGTGAATTTTCTTTGTCCCTTAATCAAGCACAAAATTCAGCATCGTTTGGATTTAGTCCAATATCTAATCATAGTTTGCAATCTTCCGCACTAAAATTTTTACTTTTTCACCGTTGTGTAGTTTCTTCCGTAAAATCTAGAAAGGGGTCGCCAAACTCTTTCCAGTTCTTATCTTCCTTAATGTTTTTAATTCTTTTTCTAGTATCCTTTATTATACCATAATCATCAGTTTCTACGACCCCCTTTTTTTCAGCAAAGAGGTTAAAAATATTTCAAACCTTTGCTTCTTGTCTCTCTTTATTTAAACAAATAAATTCCTCCAAATTTTCTGGTAAGTGTTCTAATCCTTCATCAATGTCCGTATTTCTAATATCTAAACATTCTAATTTGATTAAATCTTTTAATGGTTCTAAAGAACCAACAAAATGATTATAGATTCCTTGCTGGATTTTCTTTTCATCTTTATTCCCTATAACAACTACTTCTAAATTAACTAAATGGCTTAAAAAAGATAGGTCTTGTTCTGAAAAATTGTTATCACCAATATTTAGCATTTCTAATTTCGAATTATTTCTTAGATCAAGATTAGTTAAAAGGTTACCACAACAAACAAGCATTTCTAAATTAGGGCAATTACTAATATTCAGTCGAGTTAACTGATTACTAGAACAGTCAAGTTCTTCTAAGTTTATGAACTCCGATAGATCTAATTCACCTTCAAATTTTTGATTGTTTATACTTAATTCTTTTACTTTTATTTTTTCTTCCTTAGTTAGATATTTTTGATTTATATATTTTTGTGCATTTACCATATTTTTTAATAATATTTTTATTTTAGGTTATAAATTTTTAATAGGAGGACTAGCTTTTTCAACTTGAGCTATAAAATTATCTTCACTTAGGACTTTTTCATTGATTTTTTCTTTATTTAATTTGAAATTTAAATCAAGAAGATTCTTTACTTGTGAAGAAAATTTAACACCCGTAACACACAAAGTAGCAAAGTGTTCGCAGTTCCTAGTTATTAGATTATATTTACCTTTTCCATATTTTTTCTTATCAATTGCTACATTAATACTGTTTTCTATTTCTTCTGGTTTTTTAAAAGGTATAATAAGCCGATGCAAAATTATTCTTTCAGCATTGCGATTTTCTAAAAAATTATCTAAAGTATCAAATTTTGCTGGACTACCCTTAGCATCAGGTATGTGAGCAATTTCCTTAGTTTTTATACTTCCTCCTCGATAAACGGCTACATGATAATTAAGTGTGCTATTTATTCTAACTGCAATAATATCATGCTTCTTTAAGTGAGCAGTGGAGTTTGAACAAACCTCTTCTTTATCTACATTTTTTTTTTTTACAACATCAGAAAAATAAATTGGGTTACCCTCTTTTATTTCAAGTAAACTTAAGATGGGATGCTTTTCATATTTTTCTTCGCTTCTGCCTTGTAGTCTTTCCTCTATCAGTTTAACTCTCGCTTTTGCTTCGTCCAAATATTGTTCAATAGAAATTTTTATAGAGTGAATATTTTTCTCATTAATTTCCTGCTCCTGATTAAAAATTTCTTCGTATATTCACAAATCAACTCTATATTTTTTTCTGTTTTCTTCGCAGATGATTACTGAGAAGCAGTTTGAATTGAATCAAGGGGAGAAGTGCGAAAAATATTTTATATCTGTTCTCGATTCTTTTCCAGTTATCCATGGAATTCATACTTTTCCTCATCTTTTAGCTTTTTTTGTAATTTTTTCTTTTATTTCCTCTGTTTTTACCATATTCTTATTAAATTTTTGTTTAAGAATTGTTTGCAATCACTACTATGACAATTAAGCCCTTTATAACAAATTAGACAGGATTGATTTTAAGATTATTCTAATTTGTTATTTTCTTCGTTCTGACCATAGGCAATTTAATGTTTTTTATTTCTACTTTTCTTTACTAAAATCACTACTAAACAAAACAAAACTACTCCAATTGCACCTAATCCAATATAAAGACCAGTTTTATCACTAAGTTTAGCATTATTAGCATGAGAATTATTCTTCCTACTCAATAATTCTGCTAATTCTTTCTTTTTATCAGTTAATAATGTCTTTTCTAGATGATTTTTATTACTTTTATTTTCTAAAACTTTTATTTCTTTATGTAAAATAGCAATTTGAGTCTCAATTGGTAAAGATTTAATTAGTTCTTTAGATTTAGTTTCTAAAGCCTTTAATTGTTGTTTTTTAGAGTCTAATTCTTGACTATTAGAATTAGGATTTTGTTCTAAATTCATGATTTCTGAAAGTAATTGTGATTGTTGAGACTGAATTTGCTCTCTCTCTCTCTCTCTCTCTCTCTCTCTCTCTCTCTCTCTTACATGTGAGTTATTACTATTACTTTTATTCCTTGTATTATTTAATGGATTATTGACACTACTATTTGGTTGCGGAATACTAATACCCTTTTTCTTTAACAATTCTTCTAAGTCTTTTTCGGCTTTTTGATAAGTGTCTTTAATTCCCTCTTGGGTTAAAAGAAAATCAGGCACAGTTAACATGCTTTGATAATTCAAACTATTTAACTCAAAAGAAGAAATGCCATTATTTAGCATTTTCTTATTTAATTTGTCTATATGATAACTCTTTAAAGATTGTAAGAACTTTGGACTTTCGGTTTCTCAACAATAATCACAGTAATAATAAATATTGTTCAGAATCGTTTTGTTTTCTTCTAATTTAATGTCTCTGGGAGTGCAACAAATCGAATGAACAACCACAAATCCTTTTTTACTATTACCTATTTTCCTATCTTTTGGCGAAATGTATTCATTAATTAAACTCTGACAATTCTTTTTTAATTCTTCAATCTCTCCTTTAATAATTAGATCTTCAAAACTACCTAATTTTTTTATTCTTTGCTGAACACTTTTTATTTTTTTGTAATCTTCAACAGTTCCAGCCACATTTTTGTGGGATAATTTTTGTTCTAATTGACTAATAGTTAATGAACAATCTTTTATTACTTTTTGAGCATTTTGTTCTTTATTGTTATTATACTTTTCTCTTTCTCTATTTTCTTTTTTTGCTTCCTCTAGACTTATTCTTTCGCCACATGGAACACAGTAATAGGTTCGCCCCCCTCTGCCACCGGTTTTGTTAAAAAGTTCTTCGTTATAGGTTCTTCGGTATTCTTTATCCCCTTTTATTTCTTCTCCACAAGAACCACATTTATTTAGGTAATTAGGAAACCTACCTCCGGCTCCATTAAAAGGTCCTTCTATTTTTTTGTCCATGTTAATAGTAATTATTTTGTCTATATTATAATTTTAGCAAAAAAAGAACCTTGTCTACTGGATATTTTGCTAGTTTTTATCTAGTTATCTTTTTCTTTAATAAAAGCGAAGTAAATTACTAAAAAAACAATGGCTCCCATAATTAGTTTAGTTTGAGAATCCATGCTTTCTAAATTAACCAATCCTCCTTTTTTGTTATCTACTCCGGGAATGTTTTTTAATAAATCTTCTATTTTTTTGTCATAGTCAGTTATGATTCGGGCTTTGTCATCTAATTGGGCTTGGATAATGGGTATCATTTTTTTGGCTAATTCTTTTTCTTCTGGGGTAGCGTTGGGGTCATCTAGTTTTGCTTTATGTTTTTGCATCTCTTTGATTAGTTCTTCGGATTCTTGAACTACTCGATTGCGGTCATTTTGGAGACCATTTACTTGACTGGTTATCGCTTCTCCGGCTTTACCAGCTAAGGCTAGTTTTTTATTTTCTTGTTCTCTTTGTTGACGATCAGCATCGAGAAGATAGCCAGCTCCTGCTGCTATTCCCATCGCAATTAGGTTAGTTCCACCCGTAGCAACGGTGGCTACGATGGTAGCAGTAACAGTGATTCAGTTTTCTTTTACTCAGTTAAAAAGTCCCATAGTTTTACTTGTTATTTAAGCCTTTTTGGCTGATTTTATTAATAGTGAATTTCATATTATTTGATTTGCTTTTTGATTAGTTTTAATTGTTTGGTTAAATTTTCTAATTGTGAATGGTAGGTCTTAATATTTTTAGTTCAGAGGGATAGGGTGGATTCGATTTCTTTGATTTTGGTTTCGATTTGTTGAATTAGTTGTTGATTGGTCATATTGTTTTATCTTTCTACTTTGGCTCTTAAATTGCCGATATGTTGAAATAGAGTATTAATATTGTTCTGGATAGTGACTAGTTGACTATTCATGCCGGAACTTTGTAGTTGCTGTTTGACTGCTTCGATTTCTTGCCGTAAATTTTCTAAACTTTGGTTCAATTCATTTGAGGATTGAGCTATGAAATTCGATATTTCGGGTAAATGGATATCTAACACATCTTCGACTTTTACTTCTTTTAGCGATTCAAACTCTCCTTTGTAGTTTTTGATGTTTCCACTTTCTTGAAAGTTTCAAAAGTATTCTAGAAATTCTCCAACTTCTATTTCCTCTTTTACTTTCTGACCAGTTTTTTCTCCATTATCATCCAATTCATCTTCCTCGGTTTCTAAAATTGCATCTGGATGATTAGTAATGAATAAGTTTCAAAATTTTTTTTTATCGGGATCTTGTGGATCATCTCCAAGAAAATCTTTGTAGAAAATAGGAATGTTAAATTTTTTTACTCATTTGTCTTCTTCACTAGGTAAAGCATCAATATCTGTTCAACGCTGAGGCATTTGGCTAAGAATACCAGCCTTATCGCAAATTCTTTTAAACTCGGCTCAAGTCCAACTAAAAGATAACTTATTACTTAACCGACCTTTTTGATAGACCGCTTCTTCAATTTGGTCTAAGTGATTAGTAGCCATAACTCATAAATTGTCGGTTTCTCCTTTGCGACTGGATTTGTTTCCTTCAATGCATTCTTTTATGAATTGCAACTTATTTGATTCAAAAAATGCCGCATTATTACTGATTTGATTACACTCATCTACGAAGAGAATATAACGAATTTCGCCGTTGGGTTCTCTTTCAAATCCATAAGACTTTTCCAATGTTCATTCCACATAACTAATGGTATATTGAAACTTTTCTAGCACATTCATCGCTACTTTTAAACGAGGAGTCAAAGAACTACCTTTAATTTCTACTAAAGGATATTTATTGGATTCAAAGCAGAGATTTTTCACTGTTTGCGATTTTCCAGTTCGAGTCATTCCATAGAAAAGAGCATTATTTTGGTTATCATCTTGTCCTCTTACTGGATCAGCAAGAGTATTTTTGTATCAAATGATAATATCGTTAGATAAGATTAAATCTTCTTTTTCTTTTAACATTTCACAATTAATTTCTCCTGCCTCTTTGCCGGCTTCATAATGTTCTTTTAATGATGGTGGGAAATGAATGTAGAAACTAGCGGTTCGGGAAAAATGAAAATTAGGATTTTTATCTCCATTGGGAAATAAATTGACTTCCTCTTGATACATTGTCACTAAGGTGCTGGTAATATCTTTCAATTTTTTGTCAGCTCAATTTTTAATTGGTAAATCTCAAATTCTTCCTTTTCTATACCTTTCATTCTCTAATTTTTCCGCTGTTAATTGATTTTCCTTTAATCATTTGATAGCACCATCTAATGCTTCTTTTTTATTTTTTAGAGCCAATTTTTTAGTTTCGGTGCCAGTGGTGTTTCAGAGTAAAAAGCCTTGACAGGTTCCTAAAAGTGTAGTTATATCATCATAGTCATCTTGTTTTAATTTCTTTACTTTATTTAACTCCTTTTGAATTTCTACCTCCCATTTTTTAACTTCTTCCTCAGGTAAATAAATCATAAAGTAATAAGCACCAGCAACTGCTAATAAGAGCAAAAGGAGCATTTGCTGTTGTTGCTGTTTCTTTTTCTTAGATTTAGTGACTGATTTTGGAGGAGAATCAAAATCAAAGTAATGGTCAATGTTATACATGGTTATTCTTTATTCTTTTAGTCTCTTAAAAAAAGCCATTTGTCGTAATAATCTTTCTTCAACTTGAGCTTCTTTTTTAGCCGATAGTTTTGGTTCAGATTTAGTGAGATAGTAGATGGTAAAGATTAGCAAAGCGACCAAAGCCATTAAAATTAGACCTCTTTGTCAGGACTCTAAATTAGTGTAAAGAGGAGTAATTGTCGCTTCTATTTGTTCGGTGGTTTCACCGAGTTTGTTTTTTAGGTCTTGGGGATTATTCATAGTCTTTTTGGTTTAGAAGATAGAAAATTACTAGAACAGCAATGCCCGCAAAGATTAACAGTTGTTGTTGGTTAGTTGACTGTTGATTATTAGAACCAGAACTACCTCCTCCTCAAGAAGTTCAAGGAGTTTGTCCACCGGTAGGGTTAGTTCCCTCACTAGGATCCACAGAGTCGTTTGGATTAGAAGGCGTTTCAGGCACAGTCGGCGGTTGTTTTGGAACATTACCTTTGAACAATTTTTCTAAATCATCAGTGTAATTCAGTAGATGATTATATTGGATTAATTTGGTTAAAGGATTGTTTCGCAATTTTTGCTTAACCTTTTTAAGTTCTGTTTCGGCAACTTGGGCAGCAGCGATGAATTTGGCTTTTTTAGCCGGATCAGTCTCTTTAGCAGCATTAGTCATATTCTCTTTATACTTAGCCTCAATTGACTTAATTTCAGCCTCTAGTTCTAATATTTGTTTCTGATGCTTAGGAGTGATAGTTTGCAACTGATTTAAATCGGTTTGAAACTTTAACTTTAGACCATCTAACCAAGGCTTTAAAAAACTACCAAAAAAGTCATTTCAAATACAACAAACATAAGCAACTGAAGAAGTGCTGGTAGATTGACATTTACTAATGCATTCTTGAAGTTTATTGACTAACTGTTGCTTTTTATTGTTGAACTCTTGTTCATTAACTGCTAAAGTCAAGTTTTGTTTCTCATCACCGATATTAGCAATACCATTAGCAAAATCGGCTAAGGCTTGACTATCCTTAGATAAATAATGTTCACCACCTCATTTGCATTGTCCACCAGTTCAATAGCCACCATCACCACTTTCTTTACCGGCTCTTTGACAACTAGCATGAGCAAAGAATTGATTTTTGATTTGTTCAGCATTAGTGAACTGTCCGGAAGTTATTCTACTACTTCCTTTGCCAAAACCACCCTTGGGTACTGTTTTTATTTTTCCTTTACGAGTCATAGTTTCTATAATGAGTGCGGAATTCTCCACCAGTCAAGTCAATTTTGCTTAAGCAAATAATTAAATTTATAAATTTCATATTTTTCTTTAAAAAGTGTATAAGGTAAGGGGGTTATTGTTAAATATTAGGGTAGGATAAAAAATCTAATCCTGCTCATGACAATTCCTAATCCAAAGATGGTTAGTGGTATTATCTTTAAATCAGAAAATAAGGCGATATTTTTTTTCCTGATAAAGGATTCTATTTCGCACAAAGACTTCTCTATCGTGAGGGTTTTTCTTGGGTTCAGGTTCAACTTGGCGACCATCTAAGGTTTTGACTAATTCCACAATTAATTCATGGGTAATCATTTTCCGTCCCGGTTTAGTTTGATAGTAATCAGTAATAGTTATTTTGGTGATGGCTAACTCATTGAAAATTAGATGACAATCATGTTCACACACTTTCTCTTTGGAGTTAGGAGATTTAGGCATAAATGACACTTCTTTTTCGTGGTTTTAGTTCTTTGATAATTATTTCTACTTGAGCAGGAGCAAATAACTTATCAGTATAAGATAGTAAACGGTCTAAGGTTAGGTAATCAATTCGACAATAAAGAATATCTTCAGTTTCGGCTTTACTTAATTGCATTTTTTGGGCTAATTTCTCAGTAGTAAACTTATGATTCCGTTTATATTTGATTACTTTTTCACAAAGTTCGTATTTGGTTTTTTCAGAAGTAGTTGGGTTTTCTGGCAAAGCCCATGAACCACCTTGATAATTAGGATCTTCAATTCGTTCTAGATACTTTTTAAATTGGGCTTTATCTTTCTTAGTTTTACCACTTACTGGACTTACTTTTCTTTTTTTTAGGGTTGGTTTGATTTTAGTCATAATAGTAGATTAGGATCGGGT